CCATCGACAGAATCCTCTGTACAAGAACCTCTTCTTGTACAGGTGTAAGACGGCGATTTTTGGAGATAGCACCGCGTTGTGGAGGAATACCACGGGCGCGACGCGTAACCGTCTTTCTGGGCACATCGTATAGTTTCTCAACGCCTCGGAAGGATGTAATTTGGCCGGTCTTGTAGGCTTGAACGCCTAGAATAACTCTGCCTTCTTGAAAGATGGCTTCTTGTTGTTGTGGTGCTGCCATTGGGGTGGTTGTTGGACGACGCGTCGCGTGTTGAGTTGGGTGGGCCACTAGCTTGTGCGGGCCACTAACTTGTGGATTACGTTAGCCCACACTTGCTTACTCATTGGCGCTTTAGCGGATTTTTCACGAAGCCTGCTCAGCCAATCACAGCCCCTCGCTTACATTACCACTTCCGTCAACATGCTATATACCTCCAGCAGCCTAGCAGCATACAACACCAACCCTTAGCCACTCAGGATCGACAAGACCTAACCTCAGGTACATCAAGATGACGAACAGAACCATCAGTATTTATTGGCTGATATTTTCTCCGGTTAGCACAGCCGGATAGTGGAGTGTCTGGCCTCCTTACCTCGAGAGCCATCCTGGAGGCATGTCTGCCCCTTCACGGGCTTGGAGGCTGCGCTTGAACCGCCACTGGCCGTTTGTGTGCGATCCAATTACTGTTAGCATGACGTACGTTTTCATCGTAGCAAGACTCTCCCGAACAGAATTCAAGAGGCGGCATCTTCGCGGTGGTCCGGAAAGCGTGGTGCGTGTTGGGTGAGACGGAAGGAGAGCTGAGAGAGGCAGGTGTGAGGGGACGAAGCTGGTTCTTATACTTGCGCTAGGGTTTTGAGGGCGCAGTCATCGGTCAGGACTCCACCATCCACTTAACCATGCTCAGCGGCATGAAGCTGTCATCCTCCGTCTTAATCTTGAGGATGCCACATGATTGGAGTACGACCAGTGTACATGCACTCCCGACTCATCCTCTGATATTCTTCTGGGTGACCGCACCTATCTCGCATTGCAGGATAGGCATCAATGCAGTCTAGAGTATCGACCTTTCAGTCTAGTTTGATGACTTTGTGGTCGGACTGCGGTCATGACAGATGAAAGTTCTTCCGGCAGTGCTGATGATCTGAGGTGTTTTCGATTTGTATGTTGTTGGGTTGATGTATCTACAAAAATGGTGCAGGAAGGTTCATCGCGTCCTCGAACCACTGATCATCTTCCAAGTCCATTGACTGCATCCAAATCATCTGGTCCAGATCTGGGATGGAGCTGTTGTGACTAGTCTCGCAAGGATCTGCACTCCGGTATGGCCCGGCCTCCGCATCTTGTATCTGAGAAGTGTTCAACCGGGCACCAGCCCATACACGACACTTGCTCAAAAGCTTGGATAACAGGTTGAAAATACTGTCATCGCACTGGAAATTCGACTCTATGCAAACTCGGTCGAGCTTCTGGATCATACAGTCCATTGTCGCAATCAAGTCAACTGTGTTCCGCACCTCTTGGCGATTCCAAGCCGGGTCTTCGAGCACCGACAGGTACTTCAAAATAGTGACACACATGATCATCTGGGACCAGAAATGAAAGGGAAGACCGACGAGGTCCGATGGGGAGATCTTGTAGAAACTATCCAGCCACGACTTGATGCTTTCGACGGACCACCACAAACACTTGAGGCGTTCGAACCCAGGCAAATGGCCCCCGTCACTCCTTGGCCCCAACAAATTGAGAGGTGGCGAGTCCCAGCTTATCGAATAAGCCAGCTGATTTATGTATAGGTCGACGTAATGTGCATGTGTAATAAACGCGCCTGTACGCTGGGCATCGCCCATGCCTAGTTGTCAGCAATCATGTACCAATATGGACCACCGGGATAATTATGTGAGTAATCACTCGCCTCTTTGAAGGAGATCTGGAGGAAATGAAGATTTCAATTCATGCAACTGCTCCCTTAGTGTCTTGAGGTACAATAAGCCTGGCACCGAGGTAGTCACTGAAGCTGTTGCTGTACGAGCACCGTCTATCTGCTGTTCTCGGATGTGAGCTGCTCTTTGTTTCAGCAGCTGCAGGCGCACCTGGAACGCAAAAGCCTCGTCCGTTAGGCATGACTTGTTCATTTCAATAATGCGAAGAGCCTCTTCCATCTGGGGCGTCCATCGTAGGGCATCTATGCGCCCAAGGTGAGATGAAATACTAGAAGGAAAACAACATGTTAGCAAGTTCACCAGTAAGAGTTTGGACCGTTGTTAATCCACTGGGGATAAGGTGGCTACGCGTACTTGGAGCTCAACACAAAACATGCTAGGACTGCTCGTTGCTTTTCCATGAAGCCTTGAAAGGTTTCATCATTGGGATTCTGATCGCTTTCGTGATCCTGTCCCTGAGTGATCGCCATCATTAGTATCGTATCTGGCGGGAGTGGCTTGAACAACCGCAGATCATATACTAGTGAGATGGCGAGTATCATGAGGCGAGATATGAGGTCTGCTCTGCCGAGAAAGGCGTCGTTACTCCATGCTAAATACGTTAGTAATCCAAGCAGTAGGTCGATACTCGATTGGACCTCGAGAAGAGCAGACGTGAACAGGATGCGTTTCAACTCCTCAATCTGAGCTAGCCTTTTCTGTGTCGAGAAGGTGGTAACGACGAGGATTGCCTGGAATAAGAACGGTCGGGTATGGCGTAGTTGCCAGGCTGCTATGTCTGGGGTAAGGTTGATGAAAGGGAAGTACGGCAGCATCCGGGATCGGAAGAAGCTGAGGCACTCCTCTGCTTGACGTGGCGATGGCTCAGACGGGGATGGAGAGTATTGAGACGGAGAGCACGGGTCTGTATGAGCCTGTGCCAAGGGAGACGGGTCCGTTGCGGGCGTCGGTACTCCACTGATGCTCGGGTTGGTGCTAATGGAGTTTGCTGGCGTGTCGTTGGGGCCGGCCGTGGACGATGGGATCCTCTCCTCGTTAAGGAGCCGAAGAGCTTCAGCTGAAGATCCAGAAGAGCTGACAATCGACTGCACTGCCGATAACAGCATTTCTATCTTGCCCTCCAGCTGGGCGATTCGCGTACCAGACTCTTCAGCTCTATCAGCATTGCGCCGGCGAGTCGAGTCGGATGGCAGGCACTCTTTTCTGAGACGATGACATCTACGAGGCTATTAGTCATGTGCGCTACACCAACAGGCTGGGGTCATCATGAAGCATATAACCTTTCGCAGCTATCACCTCTTGAACGAGGCACGCACCGGCACTTTGCCTTGTAGCATTGCATGCAAGCTTGGCCATACGTGCTGGGGTGGCCAGGGGCCGGTCTGGCTTTCTCCATGGTATCAGCTGGCGGAACGACAAGAACAGGTTATGCTAGAAAGTCCGGAATTCGCAGGAATCATTGATAGATAGATATGGGCGAGCTTGAGACATGTAGCTACAGCAAGAAAACTCCGACGGGATTGCCGCCGTTCCACGCCGTACATGTACGTAACGCGATTGGAGAGAAGCGTTCTCGGCTCGGCGAATGCGACCTGGATTAATCGGCAAGTCAACAGCGCCGACGGGATTCAAGACCGAAACCCGTTTATTCAAAGACGCACCCTGATCTTGCATTTTGCTCAGGTGAAGACCCAGAAATCGTAGACACCCATTGCAGTTCCCGTTATGCTTCCACTCAAGCTTTGGAAGGGAGCACCAGCAGTGCCTCTATCTACAAAGTATGACGCCGGCAGGCCTTAGTTGCAAACTTGTCCATAACCCCCTTGCGCATTGTCGCACATACCTGGGCACATGGACGCAACCCCCTCCGAGCAATGCCGCTGGATTTGGTTACCTGAAGTCCGCTTGTAAAGGGAGTTTTGCTATATCTTCCACCCTGATGCCAATTTGGCTCATGCATTCGACTTTTGGCACCGTCCGCTTCTCATACTATCGAGTCTTCATACTATCCATCTGCCCTTCTACCGCCGAGAGTCAGTATGCCAGAGAAGACAGTTTTGATCACAGGTTGCAGCAAGGGTGGGCTTGGAGCGGCAATGGCAAAGGCTTATCACGCCAGAGGCTTCAGGGTCTTCGCGACACTGCGTGACAGTGCCAAGGCCGGATATCTGGAGGAAATACAGGGCATAGAGATTCTCGAACTCGAAGTCACGTCGGAAGAATCCATTCGGCAATGTGCGAAAGCCGTTGAGAAACTCACGGGAGGATCGCTGGATATTCTGGTCAATAACGCTGGCTACTACAACACCATGCCGCTTTTAGACACTTCGGTCGAGGACGCTAAGAAGACGTACGACACCAATGTTTGGGCAATACTTGCAATGACGCAGGCATTTGCGCCGATGCTTATCAAAGCCAAAGGAACTCTCTGCAACATCAGTTCAGTTTCTTGCGAATTGGTCTTCGCTTGGCAGGGTCTGTAGTAACTTACTCCATGGACTTCTAAGATCCTAGGCTTATTCTGATATAGGCACATACAGCAGCTCCAAGGCTGCCATGACACGGCTTTCCGAGACGTTACGCCTTGAGATGGCGCCCCTCGGTGTGCGAGTCGTCACAGTCATACTCGGAGGCGTTGGAACAACCGGAAACAACCCCGACAATAGAAAGGACCTCGAGCTGCCCGCAAATTCATACTACCAGAAGATAGCCGCTATCATAAATCGCCACCAGAAGGGACTGGTGCACGCCGCCAAGACACAAAATCAGGATGTGGCAGCGAAGAACATAGTCAACGACGTTCTCAGCGGTCGTGCTGGCTTGATTCGGCGAGGGGAGGCTTCTACGCTCAGTTGGATCTTGAACACGTTCATGTCCTACGGACTCGCCACATCTTTGGCGAACGGAGAGTCAGGTCTTGCTGAGCTTAGCGGTAAGTAGGTGGTACATCTGATACAGATGTTTGTACATACTAGCTTATAATGCACCGTATTGAGTTAAGAAGAAATGGGGGAGGAGTTGTAGCTTGAGAGTGTTTTCGTGGTCGTACGCACATAGATAGCTCACGTTCAAATAAACTGCTCTATTTCATCTCATGGCATTCAGATGCTTGAAACACACTATCGGCAGCATCATCTCCAGATTAAGTCTCACGGGACCCACCTCTGAAAGTAGCTTGTTAGTTGACTGGGACTTGCAAATTTTTGGAGACGTACAATTCATACTGTATAAGTAGTATAGTTATATCTAGCCTAATTAGCTAAGAACTAATCTTTTTTATAAATACTAATAGATTCTAGACACTGTTTAGCGTCAGCCCTAGCTAAACTGTCCGCTCCGCTTATTTATCAGCGCCTGTCGATAAAACATGCCTAACTAATCGCAGCCCCTCGCTTATATTACCACTTCCGTCTACCTGCAATAGCTACAGCAACGTAAAACACCACCTCTTAGCCACCCGGATCGTCACGGCCTGACCTCAGGCACATCAAGATGATGAGCACCGTAGAATAAAAGATCGCCAGATGCATACCGAAGAATGCCCGCGGAGAAACCACAAACCATCCCGTAAGCTAGACCTGATGACTGAGCAACAAGGCGCGAGTTGCTGTCCCATCAAAGAAATACTTACGAAGCCTGATGTTCTCGATTTTTGCGGAGTACGGAGGAATTGTAATCAGTTGCCGAGTGTATATATACCATCATCTTGATTCATTTCTTTTTCCGAATCACTTTACTTGCGAAACAAAACTTCTAATCCCTGCATCACATCACATCTTCTCCAATTCCACTATACGATCTCCCGAAACAAAACTGCAAAATGGCCGACCCCATCTCGCAATACGGCTTCACCGCCATCCCGCGCTCGCTGTCTAAGATCCTCGCATCCACGGCCTCAAACCCACCGGCCAAGGTCGACGCAGCGGACATCACGCCGCCGTCGTCTGAGCTCGCGAAGAAGGTGTACGCATACGCGAAGGAGCACTTATCGTCGCAGACATTCAACCACTCAATGCGGGTGTTTTACTACGGTAATATTCCCCTCGGCCTCCTCATATCAAACCGCGATCCTCATAATTTTCTGCCTCCAAAATCGTCTAAATCAACACCCACACTTCCCAAATATTCTCCTCATATCACATGATTCTGAAAGGTCCTCCCAGGCTCAACCATCGCTACCCACCACCTGCCCCGACTCTTGCCCTCGCTCGAAACATACTACCTCACCGCCCTTCTCCACGACATCGGCACCACGTCCCACAACCTCCACTCCACCCTCCTGTCGTTCGAGTTCCAGGGCGGCCTGCTCGCGCTTAACTTGCTCGAATCCCTCGGCGCGCCGAAGGCGCAGGCTGAGAGCGTTGCGGAGGCTATAATCCGCCACCAGGACCTCGGCGAGAGTGGTATGATCACCAGTGTGGGGGGGCTGATCCAGTTGGCGACTGTGTTTGGTGAGTAATGTGATCTTCTCATTTTTGGGTGTTGTAATCGCTTTTGGTTTTGTGGGTTTGGATGATGTCGTGGGGCGCGGTCAAAGGCTCCAGTTGAGCCGGACCGGCGATGAGGGGCTGTGCTCTGGGGGTTCGTGTTGGTCGCCATCGTGTTGTTTCACCGGCGCGCGCAGGTACGGGCGTATTCCACGATTCTCACTCCGTGCGACGCTCGCTCTTGAGATCTCGGTTTGCGGCGCGGAGGGAGGGTTTGTTGGGTGACTTGGTCGTTTTGAATAATTTTATCCATGAGCAGTGCTGACGATACGGGGAGCAGACAATATGGGTATAAACCCGCAGCTGATCGACACGGCGACGATCGAGTCGGTGACGGCGTTGTTTCCGAGGAATAAGTGGTCGAGTTGCTTTGCGGCGACGATTCGGGAGGAGGTGGGGTTGAAGCCGTGGAGTCATACGACGGCGATAGAGGGGTTTGCAGAGGGGGTCGAGGGGAACCAGTTGATGGAGGCTTATGAGTGAAACAGGGGTATTCGAGGTGTCTCGGAGGAAAGGTAGGTACTGTCAGTGTGTGGTGTTGTTACGAGGCCTAGTAAGGCTGTGTTGAGTAATATCTACTTTCGGCCCAGGCGAGGCAGTTTGACAGGGAGAGCCAAGGCGTTCACGATTAGGAAAAGCACAATTGATGATATGAATGTTACCCTCAGGCTTCTTGAATATGCATCAATGACTAGGATAGTGTAAGCTTGGCCAAATTAAGAGCACAACGCATCGGCGCAGCACATACCTTGGTGCTGATGCTGCTGGTCAAGGTCTAAGAGAGCTCGAACGGATTTGCGAACCTTCCAGATGATCTGTGACAGTCAGCCTTCTTCCATCGTGCACCGCTTCGAGGGTGTTATTACCTCGTCCTTGTGGGCACCAGTAACCAGATCGTTCAGATAGGCAGATAAAGAGTTCTGCAAGACCAGGCTACTCAGAGAAACGCCCATCACAGTACCAAGACTGCGCCAAAGAGTGAGTGTGGTGGTCATAACAGCTTGATCTTCTTGTGAACTTGTGGCTAATACTGCAATTGATGAGGCAGGGAATGCTAGACCCTGGCCGATGCTCGACGGGCAAACGAAGATGGTTGCAAGCCACGTAGGAATTCCGTCCCACATTGACGATAGGCAGATCGACCCTAGTAACATGCAGAGCGAGCCCGAAACAAACAGCTCTTTCATACGTCCGGTGCTGGTCATGATGAGTCCACTAGACACGCCGCAGATGGTCAAAAGGAGGGATGGTCCAGCTAGACGAAAGCCCGATACTGAAGGCGTGTCTAATTTGACGGCTTGAAAATACAAAGGAGCGTTGAAGATAATAGCATTGATTCCGGCAGTCGCGGAGAAGTTGCTGAAGACGATGTTAGCTCGCGGTTTGCTAGACAGCATCTTCAGCGGCATGACGGGTCGAGCTGCCCTTGACTCAACCCGGATCAATATCAATCCAGCGAAGAAAGCAACAACAAGAGACGTTATGACCAGCGGATGCGACCATAGATATACGTTGCCGCCGAGGTTCAAGCCCAGTATTAGGAACGCTACGGACGTCGTCAGAAAGAAAGATCCAGCCAGGTCGAAGCTCTTGATGGTTTCTAAGACTCCTTTGCCGGAAGTCTTTGCGAGATTGGGGCCAAGCGATGCAGGCGTGGTGAAAAATGCTAGCACAAATACGGCCACAAGGGGAGGTATTTGCACCCCGAAAGTCCATCTCCAGCCAATGCGGTCGCAGAGGAAACCACCGAAGGCAGCTCCAGAAGCACTGCCTAAGCCGTAGAAGAGGTTTATGTAGGCCTGATAGGTGCCCCTGACTTCTATGCTAACTAAATCGTTCGTCATGATAGAGCCTTCTTTCGTCAGCTTAACGCAAGCATGCGTGCATTGTCTTTACGTACCCATGGCGAGAATCCCACCGGCTGAAAGTCCACAAAAGGCACGAGCAGCAATAAAGCTCCCGATACTTTGTGCTAGAGCACACCAAGCGGTAGTCGCTGTAATCGACAATAACCCTAGAAGATATATCGGACGTCTTCCCACGGTGTCGGATATTCGTCCGAACAGTGGTTGTAGAGCTGTCGAGGTGAGGAGAAAAGAAGTGGAAAGCCACGATGCAGAATTAGACGCATTGAAGTAAGAAGTAATGACTGGATGGCTTGACGCCATCAGTGTGGAGTCAAACAACGCTATCTAATTAACATTAATACCCGTAATGTTGATTCAATACGAAAGAGCCGCAAAAGGAGCGCCATCCCCGGGATGACCACCTTGTTGTCAGAGAAAGGCAGCTTACAAAGTATGCAAATAGAATTCCGATGAATATTAGCCAGAATCTCGCTTTTGATACACCACCAAGAAATGGCGATTGCTTGGTAGTGCCCTCGGGTTCTACAGCACTTCCTGTATCCTCATCCGGAGCAAGCCAATGGCTATGGGAATAGCTTCGAATTTTTGATAGATCTGGGGCATGACCTGGCTGAAACCCAGGACCACCAATCTCGGCCGCAGCCTCTATTTCTCCATCTTCAAGCACAGCTTCCTCGTGCTCTTCAAGTCCACCACCGGAAGTAGTTGGAAGAAGCAACGGGGTTCTCTCATTGCCATGGTTGCCACCTCTTGATGCAGAACCGGAACCTGGCATTTTCTGGTTCATTCATCCAGGTGGGAGTGGTGTCGCGGAGAGGGATTCGTCGAAAGGCGTGAAAGAAGCTAACGGTTCGTAATCAATCAAGCAATCTCGGCAGGCCTTGCGGCATCAGGCTAGCGCCCGCCCCAGTCGATTTTGCTGGCATCGGGCAATTGATGCCGAAGAATTTATGCTCGCGATAACGCCTTCAACCTTTTGCACTCCTCCCACACTCACGATCTTTGAAGTTCTTGAACAAAGATGAAACCACCATTTCGTATAGCGGTGCTGGAGTGCGCCCAGCCTATGCCCTCGATCCAGGAGAAATATGGCACCTATGGCGATATATTTCGGGTGCTCCTCCAATTGGGAGCAGATACGCTAGGAATGCCAGAAGTGGTGTCCTCTAGGAAAGGCCTGGAAGTTTCAAAGTGGGATGTGGTGTACAAGCAGGAGTATCCTTCTCTTGAGGATGTTGACGCTGTCTTGATGAGTGGATCTCGTAAGTTCATATTCATGTATTTTCGACATCTACGTTGTATTAAGTTCCCGTCAGAATTCACCGCGTTCCACGACGATCCGTGGATATTGAAGCTTGTGGACTATACGAAAAAGATACTTGAGCAAAGGAGAGTTCGAGTCCTTGGTGTTTGCTTCGGCCATCAGATCATTGCTCGTGCCATGGGCGCCAAAGTTGGGCAAAATGCCGATGGGTGGGAGATCGCAGTGACGCCGATGGACTTGACGGCAAAGGGGAAAGAACTGTTCAAGGTGGACCGACTCGTAAGACTAACATGTTGCACCACGTTGCACCACGTTGCACCACGTTGCACCACGCTGACGGAAGGGTGCAGAACATCCACCAAATGCACCGAGACATTGCGTTTGAGCACCCGGAGGGGGTGGAAGCACTAGGCTCGTCGCCGGTGTGCAGCGTGCAAGGGATGTACGCAAGAGGGAGGTTGATCAGTGTTCAAGGCCACCCCGAGTTCAACCAAGAGATTGAGACAATTATCATCAAGGCCAGGCATGCCCAAGGCATCTTCACAGACGCTCTCTTTGAGGATGCTATGGGCAGGGTTGGGAACCACCACGACGGGGCAGAAGTGTCTGTGGCATTCCTGCGATTTCTACTCGAAGATTAGACAGCAGCATAGCGTTCGTAGCACGTTAGACGGAACCGAAATGTGGTTCCAAATGCGGTTCTAACAGATACAAGGGGGTAACATGAGCGGGCCAGCAGCGCTCCCTGCTAGCGCTTATTGCCACCTCCATTTGCCACGTAATAACCTGTGCTTATTCAGTAA